GATTACTCTATCCAGCAAAGCTTTCATTTAGAATGGGAGGGCACATAAAGCCCTTCTCTGATAAGGTCAAGTTAAAGGAGTTCATCATCACCAAGCCCTGATTATATGAAATGTTAAAGGGACTTATCTAAGAAAAGAAGATAAAGAAAAAACATGTATAGTAAAAGGACAGCAAACTCACAATTATTAACAACCACACCTAAAGCAAAACCAAAAGAAACTAAGCAAACAACTAGAACAGGAACAGAACCACAGAAATGGAGATCACATAAAAGGTTAGCAACAGGGGAGAGGGAGGAGGAGAGAGAGGGAAAAGGTACAGAGAATAAGTAGCAAAAATTATAGGTTGAAAATAGATAGGGGGAGGGTAAGAATAGTATGAGAAATGTAGAAGCTAAAGAACTTATAAGTATGACACATGGACATGAACTAAAGGGGGGAATGTGGGTGGGAGAGGGAGTACAGGGTGGAGGGGAGTGAAGGGGGAAATGGGACAACTGTAATGGCATAATCAATAAAATATATTAAGAAAAGAAGTAGTAACACCAACACTCATTAAATACAGGAAACCATCTCCCATGTTTCTTAAAATTAAAGAAATGCAAATTATAATAATACTTAAACACTACTTCTCATCCATCAGGATGGAAACTATAAAAATTCTGAAAATACACCATGCTGAAGAGACTGTAAGAAAGTAGGCACTCCCATTTATTGCTGAGGGAGAAAATAAATGTCAATTCCTCCTCCCCCAACAAAAAAATCCATTGTCAATACAATCCCAATCAAAATCACAGCAGGTTCTTTTGTAGGAATTTACAAGCTGATTCTAGAATTCATATGGAAACTCACAGGTCCTAAAGTAGTAAAAACAACTTTGAAAGAAGTGAATGAAATCCAGGACTTATGCTAACTGATTTCAAAAATTATTATAAAGCTACAGTAATCAAAACTGTATGGTATTGGCATCAAGATAGACAAATAGATGAAAACAAACACACACAAATAGAATCAACTGATCCTATTTAACACAGGTAAAAGAACAATCACTGGACATTTATGTGCAAATATACACACACCCCAAAACCCCACTTTGATCCATATACAAAAAATTAACTCATAAAATTTCCACATTGTTCTTCTGGCCTTAGCTAAAGCAGTAAAGAATTTCTTAATTAGGACATAGCACTAATTATGAAAGACAAAGTGGATAAATCAAACTTCATTACAATTAAAAATATTGGCTATCAAAAGATATCTTTTAGGATAAGTAATGCACAGTCTGGGGAAGATAGACAGGGAGAGGAAGATGACTGAGTATGTATGCATGTATTATCCATAGAGACACATATATTATCCATACATGCACAAACACAAACATGTACACTTATATGGACATACAAGTGCATATTAACATTCCTTCAATACAATAGGAAAACAACTAACTACCCTATATTTTTAATGAGGAAATGACCTGAATAATTACTTCAGAGAAGACATCCAAACAGCCAGTAAATATGTAAAAAGGTGTCCAACATCATTACTTATCAGGGAAAAAAGTTAAACAGAAAAGCATTCCACTGTCCATATCAGAATAAAAATACATTTTTGCATATGGGATAAAACAGGGATAAAATAAAAATACCAAGGGTTAACAAGGATGTAGAGCAATTGGAATCCTCAAACATGGTTGATAGCAATGCAATTTGAATCAGACATTAAAAAACAATTTGGCATTTTTTTCTTGATTTCTGCTTCTGCTGTTTCATTGTTGGTATACAGAAATGCCTTTGATTTCTGCATATTGACTTTGTATCCCGCTGTTTTGCCAAATTCATTTATTAGGTTGAGCAGTTTTTTGGCCGAGCCTATAGGATTTTGTATGTACACTTTCATGTCATCAGCAAACAATGACAGTTTTGATTCCTCCTTTCTGATTTGGATGCCTTTTATTTCCTTTTCTTGTCTGATTGCTGTGCCTAAAATTCCAATGCTAGGATTATATCCTAAGAACTCTGAAACACCAATCTCAAAGAACCTATGCACCCCAATGTTCATAGCAGTACAATGTACAATAGCCAAGTGTTAGAAGCAAGCTAGGTGCCCATCAGTACATGAATGTATCAAAAAACTATGGTACATTTACACAATGGAATTCTATGCAGCAGAAAGAAAGGAGATCCTACCCTTTGCAATAGCATGGACAGAACTGGAGAGAATCATGCTAAGTGAAATAAGCCAGGAGGGGAAAGACAAATACCACATGATCTCAGCTTTAACAGGAACCTAAACAACAAAACAAACAAACACACAAAATATAACCAAAGACACTGAAGTAGAGAACAGGCTGACAACGACCAGGGGGAAGAGAGGAGGAAATAAATATCAGGGAAAAGGGGGAACGGTTTACAGGAACAAGTATAAAAGACACATGGACAAAAACTAGGGGCGGGGAGTGGAAATGGGAGTGGGGGAGGGCTGGGGGTGGACAGGGAAGGGAGTAGAAGGCAGAAAACTGTACTTGAACAACTAAGATAAAAGAAAATGAAATAAAAAGAAAACAGTTTAGCAGTGATGTTTATAAAAGCTGCACATAAGCCTACTCTATTATCTAGCAGATCCACATATAAGCATAATCCAAAAGAAATGTTTGCTTATTCCATCAAAATACACATTCAAACCGTTTCTAAAGGCTTTATCAATAATAGGCAAAAACTTGAAACTATCTAACTTTATTAATAGGCTAAATAATTGTACATTCACATGATGGAATACTACACAGCAATATAACATAATCTACCCATATATACTGCAATATAGATGTACATGACAGGCTTTATGATGAAGAAAAGAGGCCAGAAACAATTGAGTACCTGTTTATATGAAGTTCAAATACAGACAACACACTATAATGATAAAAGTCAGAACAGTGGATAGCTGTGGGGGATGGGACTGAGGGCAGGTTGTATTTATTGGAAAGATGCAAGAGGAAACTTTCTAAAGTAGATGGAAATGTTGTGCATCTTGATGTAGGTTGTGGTTACATATTCATGTGCAAAAGTTTAATGAGCTCTACAGTGAAGATTTGTGCACTTTGCTATATGAAAGTTAGGGCACAACATTTTCAAAAGGACGTTTCTGTATTCTTTCATGACCTACATTGAATAGCATATTCAATACACCAACCCTAACTCCTAAATTCTAGGTTCCCTAAATTCAGGCACACACAGGGTCCAGCACAAAAAATACCCCTTTGATTACATAAAAATCTTGTATTACAAAATAATAAGCATGTAACTATGTAACATAACAATATCACACTCCAGCACACCATATGACACTTTAGGTGAAATGTTCAAATTGCTGTCCATCTCTTGTGAGACATTCACATACCCTACCAACCACACGCAATGGTGCTACTTCTGCTGGACCCTGTATTTCATCTCATCTCAATCCTCCCTTCAGAAGCTTGTGCTTTTCTTTTTGGTGGCATTGAACAGAATCAAAAGGCAGAACTAACTCAACAGTTCTTCCAATTTCCCCTGCATCCTAATGGAATGGACTTGCTAATGAACAGCCAGGTAAGTCAAAATATTTCCCCCAGCACTTCATTTGTCATTGCTTCTCTGAGAAATTTTACCAATAATAGTGAGTTTAGATGAAAATTGTTCTTTTGATTTTTAATATAAAGTTCTATTTCCCATTTCATAATATGGTGGCTTTATGAACTTATCCCAAGCTCACCATTTCTTACCCATATGCCTCTGTTATTAGAACATTGAGGCTACCTGCAATGCCTGACAATTCCATAGCAATTGCCTCTCCTAATAAGCAGCAGCTTGGTGCTGCCTGGCAGGTGAACATGGACCCAGGGCCAGCTAGTGCTCTGTTTCATCCTCTAGACCAGTGTCATCCAATGGAAATATAATGCAAGCCACCTATAAATTCTAAACTTTCTAGTAGATACCTTAAAAATAAACAGATAGATTCATTTTAATGATATATTTTGTTTAACACAATATATCCAAAATGTTATCATTTCAACATGTAATCAAGTAAGAAAGTATCCATCAGATTATTTTTCATATTCTTCAAAGATTTGGTGTGCATATCACACTTACTTTGCCCACTTACAGTATGTCTCAATTTGGATGTCCACATTTCAGTTGCTCAATACCACACATGACTAGTGACTACCAGTTCAGATAGCACAGCTCCCAATGACCTTGGACCACAACCAAGATCACCCTTGCAATGAGACTCCAAATTCTGTCTCAGCCTTGAGATAATATGACGCCTCCACTCAGCATTTTTCTACCCTATAAAATTCCATTTCTCTCCCCTGGAAGTCCTAATTCACTAACCCATGTCCCTGGTCCTCCACTCACCAATTGGGTGGTCACCATACTTGCCTTCTGAGAAACCTAACACACGACCCATTAACACACTAAGAAATTCATCAGACACTGATCTTGTCATTTTGCCAAGACCAACTCAACAAAATTTTTCACCTCCTATTCTCTTGCAAAATGTGATGGATTAAAATTATTTTGTGCAAGTAGTATGAAATTACTGTCAATCCATTATTCATTTAGAGGTACTGTGTCAACTAACATGTGAAATGACATCTTCCTAGAAAGAGATGAGGCAAGAAAACATGGCATAAAGGGAAACAAACTGAATTGAGGTTCAAGCAGGGATTTCAGTCCCAGCTCTGCCATCAGGTAGTTTCATATTTTCAGACTAGATGGAATGATTCTGAAGCCCCATTAAATACTGCATACTGTATAATTGCAGAAACTATTTTCATAAAATAAAGAAGGAAGGGTTGGGTTGATGATGAGAGAGAATAAATCCATTTGGGAAAGAGAGTTAAAATTTCCTTTCAATATAGAATCCAAAAGCAGGAAGTTTGAATTCATTATTGATGATGATGATAAAATAATAATGGCACTCTAATTTAAAAATTCTGATCCCTTTTCTCAATTTCCAATTTTTTTTCAAGAGAAAGTTATTCTGCCCAAGGTTTTCTTCATGGCTAATTTGACATCCTTGTTCCTCAGGCTGTAGATTAGTGGGTTCAGCATGGGCACCACAATGGTATAGAACAGAGTACACACTTTCCGCTGGTCAAGGGGTACAGCAGAAGGTGGTTTAAGGTATGCAAAAGTTCCTGACCCAAAGAAGAGACAAACTGCAATTATGTGAGAACTGCAGGTACTAAAGGCTTTGGATCTGCCCTCAGTAGAACTAATGTGGAAAATGCTGGAAAGAATGAAGCCATAAGAGAGAAAAATGGTCACAATGGACACCCCAATGCCAAAGCCCACAACAGTAAAGACCACCAGCATTATTCATGTAAGAGCTATTGCAGGAGAGTTCAAGGAGGGGAAGGATGTCACACATATAATGATTGATAAGGTTGTCTGCACAAAAGGTCAGAAACAGTATATTACCTGTATGAGCTAAAGCCGCCAAAACCCCCATCCCATAGACACCCAGCAAAAGAAATAGACACACCTGAGGAGACATGGTGACCGTGTACAACAGTGGTTTACAGATGGCCACATAGCGGTCATATGCCATTGCTGACAGGATGAAGCATTCAGAAACGACAAAGAAACAGAAGAAAAAGAGCTGAGTCATACACCCTGTGTAGGAGATGATGTTCTTCTTTGAGACAAAACTCATCAGCATTTTGGGGATGATGGTAGAGGAGTAACTGAAGTCAATGAAGGACAAGTTGAAGAGGAAAAAGTACATGGGGGTGTGCAGGTGAGAGTTCAGCCCAATCAGTGTTATCAAGCCCAGGTTCCCCAGCACAGTGACCATGTAGAAGCCCAGAAACAGGAAGAAGAGGGGGAGCTGGAGTCCTGGCTGGTTTGTTAAGCCTGCGAGGATAAACTCTGTCACAGAGGAGGTGTTATCTGCAGCCATCCTCCTCTGGGAGGGTCTCAGAGAGAAAAAGAAAAGAATTGCTCACACAGAGAGAGGAAAACAACCCATTCTTGAGAGTGGTGTTTGAACAAGGATGTGTGGAACTTAGAGCTGAGATGGCATCTCCTTGTTCCCCCATCTCTGTTTTTATGGTCTCCACATGGCTTCAACCATCCTAGTAACTCTTGGTGGGTGAAATTTGCCTCCAGAATAAGGGCTCATCCAACTGAGGAGAAAGTCCACAAAGCTCAGCTGGGATGCCCCTGCAACCTTGCAGTGACCCTCCTCTGGTACTGCCTGCCCACTATAGCCCTGGACCAAGTTTTGTGTGACCTGGGCCCTTCTCTGGAGTGCTGTTGAGAAGCAGATGCCAGTTGCCCTAGACCTTCCACCTTTGGTCAGTGCTGGTCACAACAGGAAGATGAGGCTGTGTTGCCCCAAGTCTTTATTGGGAATGCCTGTGGAAATGTTATGTGAAATGCCAAGTCATTTACAAGATATAGAGGATTAAGAGTATTATATGTGAAGGTATTTTGTAAACTGTGAAGTATAGAGCAAATGTCAAGTTACTTCCATTTGGTGGGGTTGGATCTGTGGGAAAGGACTGGGGCATAGGCCATCTGCCCTAAGAGGCCCTGACCTTGGCCTTCACACTGGTCCCCTCTGCCTGTGGCCTTCTACAAGGCAAAGAGTCCATGGGGCCAAAGGGATATACCTACTCAGAGCCTATGTATCTTCTCTAGACCACTCCTGGCACCTGGGGTGCTGTAATTCCATGACCAGGAGGCACCAGCATTTTTCCAAGGCCTGTGCAGGCCTTTTCCTTGGGTGCAGCCTCACATGGGCAAATCTGGTCACTGGTATGCACCCCTGGCACTAAGGAATGGCTCCTTGTGGGAGTTCAGGTGGAATTAAGAAGTGCTGGGATGCCCACACATGCAATTATGAGGCTACTTGCAATGTGGGTACTTTGCTGGGTTGGGAAGGGACCTTGGGAGTCTGAGAATTCTAAATTTAAACCTGGCATCTCTGATCATTATGAAGGGGGGTGTGTGTGTGCCTAAATATGTCAAGGTAGGCAGATAGAACACATTTCATTTAACAGTTTGCTAGCTTTATTTATAGCATTTAATTTTTAGATAAATAGTATGTGGGCCTCTATTTGAACTGTTTTACCTGGGCCCAGAAACGTTTGGCCTGGGCCTGTCTCTCTCCCCATCACCAGGCTAGGGGCCAGCTCTGATTCACGGCTGCCCTGCACGCGCTAACTGGAGTGACCCAGCATGGGAGTGAGAGCAGGGATCCTTTATTTCCTTTCACTTTAGCCTCTCCACACTCTCATTTCTGTATCTTTTCATCATGTGTGTTTTTGCCAAATGTTTATTATTGGTTTGTATTCACGTATTTTCTTTTGATTTTAAAAAATAGTTTACATTTTTACTGAGTGAAGTATAAAACACATACATTCATAGACACATAAGTGGACAGTTCAATCAGCTTTCATCTGATCAGGAAACAGAATGTTACTAACAGCCCAGAAGCCCTCTTTGTGCTCTTTTCTCATAACTATCATCCCCAAAGGGGAATATTATCCTGACGTCTAACAGCAAGGTGGATTGTGTCTCATCGCACCCCATGGAAGTGGAATCGTGTGTATACACGCTTTCATGTTGGGCTTCTCTCGCTGTGCATCGTATGCACCTTGGGGTGGATCTAGGAAAAGCAGTTTTTGATTCTGTTTCTCTTTTTCTCCCTCCCTACTTCCATGCATCTGAGCTCTCTGGGTAACCATTCTAACCTGCCTAATGAGTATTTTATTAGTTATGTTTTTCTAAATATGCTTTTTTTCTGGTTTGTGTATGTGTAATTTTAATATACATGAATAACATTGTTTCACATCTCATTAACTTTCTTTTCTCACATGTCACTATGGCTCTAAGGCTCTAAGCTATGTTGCCTGTGGCTAATGGCTTTGCTTCCAACTGCTGCAAAGTCTCCCCTACACTTTACCTGTTTGTTTATCCCATGGTGAGTGTGAAAATAGATCTTGTTTTATTTTGTACTTCTCTGATAGCAATAGGTTTGAGCATGTCCTCGTATACTGAGTGGCACTTCAAGGTTTCTATTCTCTAAATTGTTTTACATAGCGTGCCCATTATATTTTTTGTTGATATTGAAGTTTCTAATAAATGCCAGTGAGATGTCTTCTTCCATTCTGTTGTATTTCCATTAAGTCTATCTCTGGTGTCCTTTACTGAACAAAAATCTGAATTTTGAATGTTATCATATTCACCAATTTATTTGGCTTTTTGGTTTCTCATCCTTAGATAACAAAGATATTTTCCTACATATTCTCTGAATTAGAGGGGACCTATAGTGGTAGAGGACTCAGTTCCTGCTGGAAGGAGGTCAGGAAAAAAGGGCAGAATAGCCATTTGGCAATAACAGCTCTCTCAATATCCCTTCTACCCTCCTTGTAGTCAGGTCAAAAAGCTAAAATTACATATCCCAATTTCCCCCTGTAGCTGCAGCCCTGGATGTGAATCAGTTTCCAGTATCTACGTGCACTTGTGTGAGACTGGGAAGATGGGAGGATTGGGAAGACTGTGAGGTGGCTCTCACACTTCAGTACATAGCAGAATCATTGGAGGGCCCCACCTGGTAATTTTGTAGGTGTGGAGCAGGGCCCCCAAATTTTCATTGCCAGCAAGTTTCCATGTGACACTCAAACTGGGTGCAGTTGTTTACTTACCAGTTCTGTGAGTGTGACAGGCATTTTTTCATGGTGGCAGGGGTCACAGTGGCAGCAGGAGCTTCCTGATCTCTGAGTCATATCTATTGTGGAGTCAGTTTGGGGGGCCCTCACCCCTTCTTCAGTCATTCAAAAAACTGTAAGCAAGTTATTCCTTGTATGCAATCTCTTCCTGTTTGAGAAAACTAGTTCTCTCTCATAATAACCACTGATTGATACAGTATTATACCAAAAATAGCTAGAAATGACAAGAGGATGTCCACAAATGCTTCGCACTATATCAGGCTGCTAAGTTTAAAACAAGCATCCTTGATGTCGCTATAAACAAGGGGACAAAGTTTGTCCCATGGCCACTGGATCTGCTGAGTGAGCTTGGCAGTAGATCTATCAGTTACTTAAGCATGGCCAGAGATTCTGCAGCATGTGTAATGTAGGATGAACAAGCAGCCGGGTTTGTTTGGGATGGAGGGTTTCCCAGGATGTGGTGGGACTTTTAGCTCTAAAAGCAGATTGGGTTGGTCACTCTAGTGTAAGCTTTCCTTAGTCATCTTAAAGAAGTTTCTCATGAATGGGAGAGGATAGGGCAGATGGTAAAAGATGGGAGTCTGGGAAAATAGGAGGTCTTTCCAGAATGTATCCAGCCATGTAATACAAAAAAAGAGACATTTATTGAAGAAGATACAAGAAACATTGTACATAGGACGATGATAATTTAGTCCCTTTCAAGGTAGGCACCTTGGGACTTCATACAGTTCTCCCAGTTGCCATGAGCTGGCCTGTGATATTTTCCTGAATCTCATCGATGGCCTGTAATCTCTTCCCTTTCAAAGGAGATTTTAGTTTTGGGAAATGACAGAAGTTGCAAGGCTCCAAATCTGGGCTGTAGAGGGGCTGAGTCATTTAGCTGATTTGATGTTTCTCCAAAAAACTCTGCACAATGTGATGAATGAGTGAATATGTTGTGTTGAAGCTGCCAATCACCAGTTACCCATAGCTGCGGCCTTTTGAATCATCGGAATAGTATCCACAGAAGAACGTTTAAGCTTAACGCAAAATTTGATTCAGATTCGTTGATCTTCTTGTTCAGTCATTTTGAATACGATGACCACCACTACATACACATACTCACTCAATGGCATCTACTGCCCCGACTGACTAGAACAGTGAAGTCATCATTGTTCACACATGTGCATTCCAGTCCAATCTCCTTGACTGCCAGGTTACATCCATGTCACACAGATCATTCTCATTTTATTAACAATGGTTGGACTTTTTTCCAGACCTTGTATTTTCAGGAGGCATTTGAAATTAGAAGAACATAAGTAGGCAGACTTCACTGGATATTCAAAGGGAGTGTTCACCTATAGCAAAGGGGATAATGATTGAGAGCCAGTAGTGTGGGTTCTAGAGTCACTTAGGCTTTGGTGTAAATCCCAGTGTCTTTGTTTACCAGCTATGTGACCTTAAATAGGTAACTAAACCAGGTTTCCATATCTGCAAAGTGGGATAACAAAAATACCTCACTATTGTGAAGTATAATGAAAAAAAATACATATAAAGCATCGAGAACAGTTGTAGACTCAGAATAAGCAACAAAAACCATGTTAACAGCTAGTATTATTATCACTAAGAAAATTACATAAAGAGACCAGGTATAAATTCTTGTGCAGGAATAACAAGAAAGGAGAGTAAGAGTTGAGTTGAGAAATGAGCTGTGTATTAGGTCTTGGGGGTTTTCAAATTCACCTCTCTTTGCTTTGTGTACTCCTAAATGCGAGAGAGAGAGAGAGAGAGAAAGAATTGGGTTGAGTAATATTTTCCACCTAAAGATAATAAAACAATGATGACTCTCAAAACTCAATGCAAAAGGCTCAGGACAGAGAAAATGAACCCCAAATGAAAGGAAACGTGACCTTGAAATCAGCTGGATTCAAAAAGCAATGAGAGTAGTGAGATGGGAGGAAGGAAGAGGGAAGAAGCAAAGGCGGTTTTTGCCCAACCTTGCAGAAAAGTGATTGTTCCCCATTGTTGGTTGGGCATTCAGAGGGCTTCTTGTGGGTATTTATAACACTTACTTTTCAAATTAAGGAAGAATGATAGCTTTGGTATCAAAACATTTTTCTCCTCAGTGTTTTCTGGATGGCAGCCTTTACTTCCTTGTTCCTCAAACTGTAGATTAGGGGGTTCAGCATGGGGATCACTGTGGTGTAGAACACAGAGGCCACGTTCTCCTGGGCCAGGGAACTGGCTGTGG